TTTTTTGGGTACTTCATACTAGAGTTCAATGAAGTATTGCATTCTCTGCTCACACCCAAATGGGGGACATCCTTTCCTTTCACATGTATCAATGTCATGTAAGATTTTGGTGAAAGAATATATGACCTCAACTCTTCTTCCAACTTGTGTTTTAGTTGTGAATGATATGTTTCTCAATTTGATACAAGCCAGAGTATATTGCTTTTTAAGCTGTGCCTTCACATTTTCAGAAAATGGATTGTCAGTCCAGTCAACATTTTCAAACAATACTATAAATTGCATTCCTCAATGTTTGAAGTAGAATGAACCTTTCTTCGTCTTCAGCATGGTTGATAAATGTGTCACAGATGGAACAAACTTTTGGAAGAATATGTCTCACTTTTGATTGTTTTTTTTGGTTTGAAAATGTTAAGCAAATTGTTTTGGGATTATTTCTCTTTCCCTTTGCTGATGCTTCCAGAACAGAACATGATGAAGGGATTAAGGAACAATCAGAGTCACATGAGCAGGAGCACCAGATCTTACAGGACGAGTGACAGCATCAGGGTGGGGAGGGACACTCTCATCCTCTCAGTCACTGTAAAGAACAAACAACAACAAGGTAGAACTGGAGAACAGTTAATGTATGTTTTTGAAAATTGCAAATTCCAGATTATGAGCTGAGGAATCAGATTGAAAATAGTGCAATTTGAGTGCAAAATGAAGCAGGAGGCAGTATTGAAAAATTCAAGGGCAAGCCACACCAGATATTGAGGAAGGTATAATCAGTCTTGCAAAAATTTGAGCTCCCAAACAAATTCTCAGCTGGCCAAAAAAGTAGAGCCAAAGAAATTTTCTATTGCCAAAATTATCACCAGTCTTCCCAAGATTGAGAAGAACCCAAAATTTCATCAGTCTTGTGGTGGTGCTACTACTTCAAAGCAAATGTTAAAGAAGAATACTAGTAGTAGTACTACATGATGTTTTAAATTTTAGATACTGCTGAAGTTTGCATGGTGGATTCAACAACAACAATTTTAAAGTTTAGATACTGAAGTTTGCATGGATTCAACAAAAAAAGCAAGTTTCTTTTTGTTTCTTTGGTAAGTCCAGAGCAGTGAGAATTATTAAGGTTACTGGTGGCTTCTGTGCAAAAGTTTAGGTGATACTATTAGTCCATTGCACCGTAGCCAACTGCTAATGAAGAGTCGGCCACTCCTACAGGTAAAAACCGTTAAAACTGTCAATGAAGTAAAAACAGGACCACGCTTTACACTACGGTTCGCTAATAGTTCTATCGGTACSGAACTGCCAAAATTCGCACGAAGTGATTTTTCGGGGAATTTAGGTTGAGATGTATCTTTTCTATTCTTCTGATCTCTCCTYTTACAAGAGAGGTATTGTATTTGCAGTTCGTACCGCACAGCACAACCAACAACATAGCTCAATTCAGAGTGCGCATCATTGCCGTTACTATGATACCAGCTCGAAGTCTCGGTTTTGCAATGGCAGCAAGGATCGCCGTCTTCGTTCTGGTCAGCACCCATCTTGTTGGTSTGGTCATAGCAGGCTCCTCTAACCGTGGCATGGGGCCGTGGGGGGTTTCGGTTGTTGGGCCAAATCGCTATGAATCGATTTCCTCTCGTTCTCTGTGGAATCCTGCTCCCAATGGAAGAACCACGACAAGCAAAGAAATCGGGATCCGTAAGAATCCAGAGCTGTCATCGCCGATGCTGCTGCACGGCGTTCCCCGCGGCGGATACGAGTCTTCCTCGCGTTCTTCCTTTACCAATCCGTCACCCTCCTCCACCTTTGTGAGAGTCGTGGGGACTATAGCACAGGCACTTATTTCAGCGGGCAGGATTGTTCTTCCGACGCTAGCGGGTGCCCTGGTGGCGATTATCAAATTCTACCGAGCCCTCCCAATCGATGCSATCACAGCGCAGATCGGCCTGGTCTATTGCTTTCTGGGTGGCTACTACCCCACCTTCTTTTCCACCCTGCAGGCCGCGCGATACTGCGGGCTAGATGTCATGCTGGAAGCGGTGGGACAATTGACCGATGAGGCCATCAAGGTGGTGGACGAAATCGAGAGGACAGACTTTTGGGACGACGTCGACCGCGAACCGACGGCGCGCGAGGTCTTTCTGCGCAAGGCCAACATCGTTCTCAAGACGGTCGACCCGGTCCGGATCAACCAGGCCACCGCTGCTCTCTACACCACGTGGCTCGGGGTATCGACGGTACTCCGGAGGGAATACGCCAGGACCATCAGCCTCTCGCTGACTCTGGCGGASGGCCTGGAGCGAGCCGCCGAGGTGGTGCTGGTTCCGGCACTGAACGTTCTGACCCCCAGCGACTACCGCAAATGGGTCCCCGCCGTGATCGGCTGGAGCGCCAAGGCTGCTGCCATGAGGCTGGTCTGGCGAATCGAACGAATCCTGACCGCATCGACGAGTGCGCTCGCGGGGGGAGCCATGTTTTCCAGGTCCGTTTGGTCCATGGTCCGGAAGCATAGAGAAAAGAAAACCCTAGCGATCGAGAACAAAYCGCACAATTCCAGCGAGTATGACGAGGAGGAAGACAGTGAGGACGAGTACGAACCACCGTCGATAGGAGAGAACGTGGTAGGATTTGCCGTTGGTGGCCTGGGTTTTTACACCCAGATGGAATGCCAATACAAAAAGGCGTTTTCCTTCGAGGTTCCCTTCCCGTTGAGTCTTGTGACGTGGCCCTTTGATTTGGCGGAGCGATGGATACAGTGGTACATTACGAGCTACTAAATGCTATAATTGACAAATATCATACTGATGAAAAACTCCTGTCCAAAKAATTGATGGCAGCCACTTCCAACATAGATTTTTGGTTCTGTTCAATTCTTTCGCCCATAGTTATTTTTTACCATCTATTTGGCGTCTGCTAACTACTACTGGAAAAGTGCTAACTAATGGAAGAAAATAAGTTGACAGTGCTTAAAAGAAMTTGCTTCCTACTGGAACCAACTTGAAATAAACAACTCCATACTAACTCATTCTTACTACTGATTCCTACAAGAAGCACCTCAGGCCCAATCCTACTATTACTGAAGGTGTTACTAACAGTGTCAATAGCAATAATACTGCTTACTATTGCTTGAAAGCTATCCAACATTGCTCTTTTAGTGATGGTAGCACATAACACATATCCCACTTAGCTAGTAGTATGATCCTGCGTCTGTATTCAGCTTTGCATCCTCCGTATCAGCATCCGCATCAGGATCCTCGGTATCAGTGACTTGTACTAGTATCAGCATACTCCTCCGTATCAGCAATCCTCTGTATCAACATCCTCCATATCACCAGCATCCTCTGTACTATCAGCAATTAGCCTCCTTATCAGTGTCCTCTCTATCACCACCATCCTCCGTATCAGCAAGCCTTCTCTGTATCAGCGTCCTCCTCTGTATCAGCCTCCTCCTCTGTATCAGCAAACCTCTGTACCAGCACACCTCTGTATCAGCAAACCTCTGTATCAGCATACTCCTCCATATCAGGTGGCGCTTGATAGATCCACACCACCAATACTATGATTGGAGTAGTCATGGGCTGCAGTCGTATTCGATTGAAGATGGTTCAATACAACCTTTAACAATGAATGGATTCTGAGTGGAGCTGCATTGGTGGTGCAAATAATTGTATCATTTTTTGTATCTCTTACTTAGTAGCAACTGTGCAGTGGGAAATGCTACATATTAAGCAATCGAAGCTTCTTCCCCTGCATACAAAACACAGAAACAAATTGTATCAGCAAAAAGACACTAAGACTGTGTGTGCTGTGTTGAAGGGTCATAATGAGGCTTCTTTACAGTCTAATTGTATGAGTCATACTCGTATGAATCTTAAGATCCAACTGTACCGTATGTACCATGCGTGTGATATGCTCGTTCATACGAACGCCCGACTTCATCACTCCGTCCTTTTTGTTAGCATTTTTATTGTGATTTCCAACCATGGGTGGTGGTTTGAACGATCATTGGTGCTTCATTTGTCAGCACGCCACCACCAGCAATCAGTCATGATGGCATCTTGTTGTTTTACCATGTTTCATACAGTAGTTAAAACCCTACTGGCTCAAAGATTGCTCCTGGAATTTTCTTAAAAATCCACCCCCCAAACCCCCCCTTCCGCTGAGCGAACCGATTACTGTACCGTACAGTCAAAACTGWTTTAGTCTTTTTTTAATGTTTCGACTTCCATGATTCCACGCCGAAAAATGGTCTAGAGTAAAAACAAAAACAAGTTTTCAAAACCAGTTTTGTTTCCTCTCGTGCCAACGCCGAAAGGACCTTCGAAGAGGACGGATCGAAAACCATTGCTTGTATTTCACCGGTAGTTGCATCTTGTGGACGCGACTCTCTGGGGCAACTGGATTCGGAAACGACCTCACAAACGCATCGGCACGCAGCACGAGCAGCCAAGCACGATACGGCCAAGCAAACATGGTGGCGGRGAGAGAGACAGCGGGTCCCGATGGCGGTGGCAACAGCAACAGCAACAGCGACAGCRACAGCGAGAACAGCGGCCGTGACGGCCTTTCGTTCGTCGCCCGGCACCACGATCCCGAGCAGTGGCCGCACCTGGTGCTGGTGGGACCGGAGGCCAACCTTTCCGCCCTGAGAGGGACGGACGAGCAGACGCGGTGGACGTTTTTCGAGGAACGGAACCGGGTGSTTTCGCCGTCGCTGCCGGAGGGGTTGGGGCCGCTGGTGATGGAATCCTCCCTCTCGGTGAACGCCACGGTGGCGAGCCCTTCTTCCACCGGGGAGGCGGAGACCGACGGGGAATCCGATCCAGCGGAGCTTTCGACCACCACGGTGTCCGGGGAGGTCTTTGTCACCAACCGGCAGGTCCTTTTTGTGGCGACGGATCCGGACGAGTCCTCCTCCGACCTGGCCATCGGGGCCGCGTGCATCGTCCTCCACGCCATGGCGGAGGAGCCCGTGCCCGGCGTCTACCTCCAGCTGTCCGCGGAAAGCGGGAGCGGGAGCRCCCCCCCGGCGGAGGTCACCCTGGCGCCCATCCCCGGARRAAACGGCGGCGGCGGAGACGCCGGCGAYCCCTTCCAGGAGCTCTTTGACGCCCTCTGCCGGCTGGTCTCCCTCCACCCCCTCGAACCCGACAGCGGGGACGACGGGGGCCTRTTCGGAGCCGGGGGAGTGATCGGGGGCGGTTTTGGGGACGACGGGGCCGCCGACTACGGAGAACACGACGGCTTTGTGTGGGCGGGGGGCGATTCCCTGGCCGCTTCCGCTGYCCCGGCTGGCTCCCCGGAGCGGGAGGCGATGCTGGACCACCTGGACCGGCTCCTGGTGGTCCCCCCGGGCCTGGAGGTGGGGGAAGACGGGCAGTTCGACGACGCCGCGGACGAAACGCCGTGAGCGGACACACCACACCAAGGACAGGTACTACTGTATTTCGAAAAAAAAATGATCCAACCAACCAACAAACTAGTAGCAACAAATAAGCGATGAAAACCGTGCTTTTTCTCGTGCTGCAAAGAGAGTCACTCTGGCCGCCCCGCGAACTCGAGGATCTTGGTTTGTGGTGCTATTCCTTATTATTGAATCTACAACTCAAGCCCACTCCATGCAGTGTTGAGTCCCGGTGTTGCCACTATTGTATTGCTCTCGTCGCTGTTTGTTTCATTGTTTCATCCAGCCGAGTGTTTTCCCGCTGGTATGGTAGGCAAGGCTCCTCCGCMATTCCCGGGAAACGGGATTTCCCGTGCCCAGCCACATGCGTTGAGCCGTTAGCGAATGGGTGTGTCGGTAGCAGATTCGTTTTCTTTTTTGGTCCGTTCCGATCCGTTTCGTCTCGTCTCGTCCTTCTCTCTTGCTGCAAGAATCCAAACGGCCGCAGCAGCAAGGGGCAGCAGCCCTTCGACCCACACGGGCTGCCTACCCCCCGCGCAAAAAGTCCTCCCATCCGCCCCAGGTTCCGTTCGCGGTGTAGTACCGCTCGGGGTCCTTGGGGATGTAGGGGGTCCGGAGGTTCCCGTTGAGGACCAGGTCCTCGAATTCTTCCCGGGTGTCCGCCCCGAGGTTGGCCCGGACCCACTTCCCGGCCTCCTTGTAGGAGAGCTTCCGGGGCCTCGAGCGCAGGGCGGCCCCGAACCGCCGGTCGTTCTGCTCCTCGAGGCGGACCTTCTGCGTACGCCAGGCCAGCTCGTCCAGGATGGCCCGCTGCTGCGCGGGATCGTCTCCGCTGCCCGTCGGCCGCCCGAGGTCTCGGAAGAGGCGCGAGTCGCCGTTGCTGGGGTCGTGGTCGTTGTCGCTGTTGCTCTCGTTGCCGTTGCTCTCGTTGCTGCCGTTGCCGTCGTTTCCTGTTCCGTCTCCCGCCAAAGAATCGCCGTCGMTCCCCGACCGCGGGGAGGTCCACAGCAGGGACGCTCTTTGGATGGTTCCGCGGTGGTGGCCGGTGCCGCGAATGCCCCGGAAAGGGAGGGGCCTATGGCGTCCCCACCGGGCCCCAGGACACGCGCTCGCCGCCGGACCCACGCCTCCGGTGTCGAGCAAGAGGGCACGGACCAAACGACCCCGGGAGGCCAGGAGCAGAACTAGAACCAGAACCAGAAAGGCCTTTCCGCAACCGATGGGCGTCATCGTGGTGGTTTCGGTTGGTTTCGGTTGGCTTCGGTTTTTGTTTTTCTTTGTTTCCTCGCGTGGTTCGTGGACGAGAGGAAGTGTGTCTTCGGGATTGCAACGCCGAAATCAAAAAAAGAACGCGATCTGTTGAGGTACGTGCCGTGCGTATCGTGTTGGGTTGGGTTGGGTTGTTTGGAGAACAAGCAAAGGAACGAGAATATGGTCAGTTGGCATTACAGTATTTGGTTACGAGAATTCAGTTTTCGGCACACGAGGGATGATTGATTGATGACAAGGATGATTCGTTCGGCGTGATTGTTACGGTGCCCAGGGTTGCGGAGTCGATCGAGTCGAGATTTCCATCCGCCCACAGCACCCCACCCAATCGTGCGGACCGCGCAGCTCTGCGGTTGGACAACCCCAACCCTAGAAAGATACGTTTTCGATGCCGAGCAGGTGGCAACCATCAAAGACACCCAATGATTTTTTCGTCTGCCGGGGTTCCGTTCTTTTTTTGGTTTCGAAAAGCGTGCCATGTAACGAAGCCGTACTACGAGTACCGTACGTACCACACGACACGGAATGAAGTACGGTACGTACTACTGTAAAGTACCGTTACGAGTACCATAACTCGCTTCCTCTGTTTCGAACCGGATGGTTCCGTTCGATTGATTCCGCCGGGATCGTTTCCAGAAGCATTCTCATTAATACCCATTCGTGTGTTTGCAACGACRGCAACGACACCAACGCCATCAAGACCATCAACAACGACGCAGGAATCACCGGCTACGAGCATCCATTGCCGAAAGCSTTCCCGTGGCAGCAGAGCAAACCGAAAAGAACACATACCACCCACGCCAAAAGGGAATCAGAAACGAAAGAAAGACAAGCACTTCTTGCACTAGCCCTTGCACTTGCGCTACCACTAGCAGAGCCATGAAGCTGGTCTCGAACCCGACCGCCGTCCTAGCCCTGGCGGCGTCTTTCTGGGGCCCCAACCCCACCACCACCCGCCACTTTGCCTCGGCCTTTGTCTCCCCGTCCCCTCCGGCAACCACCGGAGGCAGGAACACCCGTCTCGGGGCGCTGGAAGAAGAACAAGGAGAGRYGGTTTCTGTTTCCTCGTCCCRGAGCCTCCTGGCAGACCTCCGGAGGGTCTATTCGAGGGAAGAGGACACCGTGTACGAGAGCACCCRGAGGAYGATGGAAGAGTTGGARCCCGGCTCGCTGGATTCCATCCTGAACGCCCGGGACCTGGAGGGCGTGCCGACCGAGAGGATCGAGGGGGCGAAGATGGAATCGGAGCCCTTTGGAAGGARCACTGCAAGCACGAGCCCCAGTGTAGCCGTGCACACCATTCTCAACGAGGTTCTCAACGAGGAAAAGAAGGCATCGCTCGTGGACACCGAGGAGCTCCTCGCCAACCGATTTCTCTACGACGTGGTAGCGGCGGAGACCAGATCGGTCGAGACTTCCGCCGGAGCGGGCGGAAAACCGGAAGCCGGCGGCAACGAAGGGACCCTAGACGAGAGAATCGAGGACCTGCTCGGGGACCTCGCCGAGAAGCCGCGGGCCGTGGAAAGGGCCGAAGGCGACGAGGGGGAGGGCGTCGTTCTCTTTCGTGCCCCGGAGGCCTCGGACCTGACCGAGGCCATCGAGGACCTCCTCGACTCGATCGACGATCCGGTCGAGGAAATCGACGCCGTTGGGAGCGGCGANGAAATCGACGCCGTTGGGAGCGGCGAAGCCCCCCACGAGACCATCTTTGTCGCCCCGGAGGCCTCGGACCTGACCGAGGCCATCGAGGACCTCCTGGAATCCATCGACGAGCCGGTGGAGTTTRGTGCCYCMRGYGAGGCCRCCATCCCTTTGCAAGAGAAGGCCGGGAGCGACYTCTCGTGGTTCGACRTCCTCGGGGCCGCCGCCGAAGCCGCCGGTGCCATCGGGGGCGTGGCCGTCCGGGCCGCCTCCCAGGCCATGGAGGGGGTGGTGCCGAGGGAGGCCCTGGACGTTTCCGTTCCGTACGAGTCGGCGTCCTTCCTGGCCTACACCGAGTGGCTCCTGGAACACGGCAAGGAAGACCGGGACCTCGAGCGGTACGACGACTTTCGGAGGACCTACCGGGAGGTGACCATTTCGAACGTGGTGACCAAGAAGAAAATCCGGGACGGCCTCTTCGACGGGGAAAACGCCCCGAGCCCCCGCCTCGCCGTGCTGAACCAATACGCCGATCTCCCCGAGGAGGAATACCGCGCCAGGACCAAGGCCCTGGAACCAAAGTCCCTGGGATCTATGCTCGGGGACTTTGCCACCTTTGCCCAGAAGGCGGCCACCGACGCGGCCGGGAGCGTCGTCGGCAAGGCCGGCCCGGACGCGGACGGGGRAAAAGCCCTCTTGCCCGAGCCGGGCCCGAAGCAGGCCCTCTCGTTCCTGGCKACAAAGATGGGRGAGCTCGCCGCTTCCGTTGAAAAGAAGGAAGCCCCGGAAACAGRGGAAGAGCAGCCCACCGGACCAGAGCCCGAAGCCGCCAGGGACAAGCCCTTTTCCTTCCTTTCCGTGGGACTCCCGGGRATCCCGAARGAAAGCACCGACGAGCCCGTGGTGGCCGATGCCACAAGCWCCGRGGCGACCAAGCCCAAGGCCTTCTCTTTYCTTTCCGGGGGACTCCCTAAAGCCCGGGCGAAATCCGACGAGAACCCACCGACGGTGGAAAAGCCAACAGCCCAGCAAGCAAAACCCGGCCTCGCCATGTCCTCGTTCCTATCGGCACCGTCTCTCAAGCCGAAGAAGGCACCACCGAAGGAACAGAAGGCCAAAGCCACCAAAMCCAAAATCACCTCGTTCTTGTCSGTGCCCACCCTGAGGTCCAAGAAAGCACCAGCAAACAAACCAAAGGAAGAGCCCAAATCCAAAGTTCCCTCGTTCTTGTCGGTACCGACCCTTGCCTCCAACAAGAAGCCAAAGACGGAACCGAAACCCAAGATCTCGTCCTTTCTTTCCGGTCCRACCCTAAGGTCYAAGAAGCCGGCAAAGTCCACCCGGGAGAAAAATAAGGCGACCGGGCTCTTTGGCAATGTGGGATCCCTTGGTTCCAGCGGCGTCAGCAGCAGCAGCAAGAACAAGAAGACGGCGCCGATCCCGKCCCTCGCCAAGTGGAAGCAAAACAGGGACGGATCCATCACCGGCTACATTAGCAACTCGGAGGCCTACGCCACCGGCACGAAGATCACGACCTCCCCGGTCCCGGAGAACGCCAAGGCCGGGATYGTGCAGACCGAATCGGGCAGCCGGTACCGGCTGAAGTAGGGCTCGACGGCCCGTTGGTGCCGGAGTGTGGAAAAAATCTCTTGTCGATCGCGCAGTTGCCCGATGAAAAGAAATCCAAAGCAAAGCAAGCCAACCGCGGGAAACGGCACACCGGGTTCGTGGTGCGTTTGCAAGCAGWCATTCTCGAACCAGGAAAAGGAGCTACAGCCGTTGCGAACTGAAAAACCAAGGCACAAACAATCGTTCAAGATAGAAAGCAATGTRCRGCAGTGTATCTATATTGTGATGTCTCGTACGAAATTGTTTTTAAATTTTAAGAAAGACCGACACAAAAGTTCTAGATTAGACSCAACCGACTCATTTTTATGAATCACTAAGAATATTGGGCTGTTTGGATATGCATACAGACAACCGTCTGGCTCTCTGGTGAATTCTTTCCCCAGCAGCTGCTGCTTTTTCCCCCAAGTGCTTTTTTGGGATGCTCCTTCCGGCGTCGATCTGTAAACCACCGCTGTTTCGTCTCGGTTTGAAATGAAGCCGGGGCCCCGATCGATTGCGACAACCCCGGACCGAAGGATTCTGGCGTGACAAACGCAGGCATTAGAACCGTCTATGAGTTCTTTGAAAATAACGGCGAAGTGTTAAAACCTGTTTCGTTTGCTGATTCCATGGTGACCGTAAAAATTGACTTCAACGGTAATTTTGATAATGGCCAGGGGCCAGAAGTGACAATCCAAGGCACTGCCGCTACTGCTGACAGTGCCGAGGCAACGAAGTATTTTGATCTCACCGCAACCTTGTGCGGCGACAACAATAAAGGTCCGTTCAAGGTTGGTCAAGACTTTGAACTCTGTGTGGAACCCGATAACTCAGTCACAGATTACCACATATCTGGTTTCAAGAATGTTGTTTCACTCTTACCGAGGTTAACTGGGAAGACCCTGACACCAAAGACAAGGCCATTGGATTTACTAGCGTCGTTACCGCAGGATTCTTCTCCAATCCCGAGTCTCCAAATCCCTCTACTTTTACCTGCAGTGGCAGTGCAGTTATGAAACAAACTGGTTCTCGCATGTTGACTGGTAGCATCAAGACCCAGAGTTTTTTGTTTTCTGGTGTTCGCGGCCTCCAGACCTCCGAAGAGGATGCAGATGGTGTATTTGCTGCCCAGATTGCTGTTGTTCCTGACAGTGTTGATTTTGATGTGTTTGCCGCCCCCGGTGTTGCGGCTGCTACCAGCACCATCGCAACTGTCACCGGAATCTTGTTCCTCGCTGCGGCATTGCTTTAAGGACAGGAAGAGAAAGGAACAAGAAGAATAAAAAATTGAATACATGTGGAGCAAAAAAGATACACTAGTCGCGCTGCCCGGCTCGCCCATAGAGGCGTAAAACAAACCAAAAGAAAAACCAAAAAATGCTGTTTGGCCGCCCCTTGTGGCGTAAAACAAAACAAAACAAAACAAAAACCTGTGTACATGTCAATAAACATAACGCACCAAATGCCTTCGGGCGCCGGTGGTAAAAGATAATAGTATTGAGTTATGATGTGAAAATAGTATAGCACTCCGTGTAAATACTGCAGAAGCGTCGCCATGTTTTTTCTCACAGTAATGCCAGCCACCAACTCNTATTGAGTTATGATGTGAAAATAGTATAGCACTCCGTGTAAATACTGCAGAAGCGTCGCCATGTTTTTTCTCACAGTAATGCCAGCCACCAACTCATTGTGTGGGTGTTTCTCTAGTCGGGGTCCTCATGTGCGCGTTGTTGCTTGGTGCTAGCTAGCCAAACGAAACCAATCTCGAAACGGCGCTCAGGGCGTGGCCCGTGACGTCGAGCCTCTGTTCCGTGACCCGGAGACCTCCGTAACCGAGGCCGCCGTGCCCTACCCCCGAATCGTCCGGGACCCGTTCCTGCGACCACCGCAGAAAGTCGATCGCGTCGTCGATGCACCCGGAAAACAAGAGCAGGCAATCATCGYCGCCGCCGTTACCTTCCTCCCCGCRTCGACACCGCCTAGCCTCGACGAGGCCCCCCTGGACCAGGGCGTCCAGACCGCAGGCGATTTCGACGGTCGATAGGTTGGGGTAGAARCTCTTTCCGCGGGAAAGCATCCTCCACGCCGGTGACCGTACGATGTCCATGCACATGTCCCTGCAATAGTCCGCGGCCTCGTCGGCAATTTCCGCTGCGGTTCTTGGTTCTGTTGGCTCTCCGCTACCAGGCATCGAGAGGGTGTCTCCRCCGCCRTCTCCGGCAGCCAGATTGCGCAGCACGAGCGAGAGCCTCCCAAACGCTTGAACCTGCCATATCGCGTAGTTCGCATCGATGGTGTGGTTGCGCTTGCCTTCTTCGTAAAAGGCGCGATAAAACGCCAGAGCCAGGACCATCGCCGAAAGGATCCGGTTTCGGGTCTCGCTGCAGACCGTCAGCCCGTCCTTCTTGCCGTTTGCTTGGMTCAGGGCTTCGACGAGAGCCGTCATGGCTTCTCCGGAAAAGAACTCGATGCCCAAGAGCACCTCGTCGTCGTTGTGTTCGCTGGCGTTGGTGTCCGGCGAAAGTGGGTAGTGCGTTCGAAAGGCTCCGTCGCTGCGCTGCATCGCTAGAATGCCATTTGCGAGTCCGTCCATGGCAGCAGCAGCAGCAGCAGACAGARACGACGAAGGCTCTTCCCGCGTTTCGCCACCCAAGAGGCCCAGCCGTTCCGACTCGACGAGGGCCAGGAGCAGGAGGCCGTTATGGGCAATATTGGGTGGTTCGTTAAGAACCTCAGGAGAAAGCGAGGCCCCTTGTCCGTCCGACAGGGCGCCCGCCACAGAAACGGAGGCAAGAGAAGATGAGTAGTGTTGGATGGTTTGTAGGACTGCRTCGTTCAGGCGAGCAATCACGGCGGCAACCTCGGMKGGGGGTTTCTGGTGAGCCGGGTCCGCATTGCCTCGGTGAGAGAGAAGGATCCGCACCGCGGAGACTGCATCCCATGCAGATCCCAGGTCGCGCAACGGGCAGTGTTGGTGGGAATAGAAGGTTGTAGCAGCCGAGGATCCAGACTGGAGCTGCGATTGGTGCGGATACCGGTTTTGGCCGTCTGGATAYGACAGGAGGAAAAACCGATTGGTTTCCGGATCGACCATCGAACCAAAGTAGAGGCTCATTCGCACCGCCAGCAGCTCGAGATCGGAGGCGGTTGATCTMATTCTTTTTCGCAAAAAGAGGTGGCCCTCGCTGCAATCGGTACCCTCCCCGCTGCCGTCGTTGGTGTCTGTGTGCATCGTAAGAGGAGGGAATGCGTTTTTCGTGGAACGCAGACGACGAGGCAAACCCGGTGCGTGACCACATTGAAACCGATGGCGGGTGTGGCAGATTCGCGACGTCGCTGTCGTCGTTGTACTCGTCCATGCAGATGCACCGAATGTTTGGAACAAAAACGACGATGTGATCCGACAAAACAGAATGATGGATATCATCACTTTTTGSAACGAATTCATTGTTTTTGTTGACTTGTTTTTATTGCAAAGACATGACGACTAGACAGGGGTGATGGGTTCGTTCCGAAAGAGGCATGGGATTCCGATCAGCTCAATCCAATACATGAAACACTTTAGACAAGTTCAAGAGACACAATCACCCATTGCGACGACTTCGGACCTCGATGGACACTTTGTTCTGTGATCGGTAGAGCACAGAAAAGATCCNGAATAGAAGGTTGTAGCAGCCGAGGATCCAGACTGGAGCTGCGATTGGTGCGGATACCGGTTTTGGCCGTCTGGATATGACAGGAGGAAAAACCGATTGGTTTCCGGATCGACCATCGAACCAAAGTAGAGGCTCATTCGCACCGCCAGCAGCTCGAGATCGGAGGCGGTTGATCTAATTCTTTTTCGCAAAAAGAGGTGGCCCTCGCTGCAATCGGTACCCTCCCCGCTGTTTTCGTTGGTGTCTGTGTGCATCGTAAGAGGAGGGAATGCGTTTTTCGTGGAACGCAGACGACGAGGCAAACCCGGTGCGTGACCACATTGAAACCGATGGCGGGTGTGGCAGATTCGCGACGTCGCTGTCGTCGTTGTACTCGTCCATGCAGATGCACCGAATGTTTGGAACAAAAACGACGATGTGATCCGACAAAACAGAATGATGGATATCATCACTTTTTGGAACGAATTCATTGTTTTTGTTGACTTGTTTTTATTGCAAAGACATGACGACTAGACAGGGGTGATGGGTTCGTTCCGAAAGAGGCATGGGATTCCGATCAGCTCAATCCAATACATGAAACACTTTAGACAAGTTCAAGAGACACAATCACCCATTGCGACGACTTCGGACCTCGATGGACACTTTGTTCTGTGATCGGTAGAGCACAGAAAAGATCCAAAACCAGGGGGACGGCAACATCAAACCGTTGGTGTCATCAGTCATGAGTCCTGAGTCTCGGATCGTGAAAAATGGTGACACATTGTTTGGGTCGAGGGAGTCAATGATCCGATTCCTGCGCAACGAGATCCACTCGGAATACCGCACCTTTCGGGCGCTGCCCCAGAGCCGGGCCAGCGCTTTGGTTCTGAGGCATCCAAGGATGGGTGTTAACGAGGGATACCAGGTGGAATATGCCTGTCACTGTCCTTTGGGCCGCAGGGACGATCAAACAGAATTGTCAAGAAAGAACGCCAGAGATGCAAGCGGCAGCGACCTGCTGGAAGACACAGAGGCTCCTCCAGCCCTGCATTATCGAAAGGAAATCGTGAGATTGCTCGCAGAGTATGTTCAGAGAGAAAACAATAGGATTGTGAGAGCAGCAGCAGTAGCCAAAATAGCAGCAGCAGCAGCAACAATGATGACCCCCCACAGAGCCACCCAAGAAAACTTCTGCCAACCATGCGTCCAAACAATTGCAACGAGACCATCGACTCCTTCCTGGTTCCGATCGGTGCTGGAGCCAAAGAAAAACTTGAATTGGGTGTGCCCCTGGGATCCTGGAGGGAGAGGTGGCAGGAACTCCTCGCCTGGGTTGAACTCATCAAACCGGGGATTTAGTTGGATGCAACATGAATCACAGGAAAACTTGATACAAACGATGGCACTCTCTGGATGCTGCTCTGCTCCCTTTGCAATAGGATGATACGATACAAAACGCAGTGATAGAGATTCTTGCTACTCAATCATGATTTGCCCTGCCAGACAGTCTTTCTTGGAAACAACATGGTGAAAGCTACTTGTTAAAATATTTCAAGTCTTGGCAGGAGTGTGATGTGGATTCGCAGCCGGACGAGTACAAGTAGGTAGTTGCAACAGAGCAGGTTACAAACCAAGGAAACATGGAATCACAGCCACCTTCTCTATGCTGGTGTATGTGTCCATTTGGAGCTGTTGGAAACCCACCAGAACATGGATTGTTCCTTGGTTTTGGTTTTGGGGGAGAGTGTCGGCGGCTATTGTCGCTGTAGGAGCTGGGGGTAAGAGTGTAGTATGTCCCTATCGTCACGGCGGGGTACTAGACCAGTACCACAGCATTGTTGCATCACCAGCATAGTACAGCAATACACCATTAGGGGCCCAGCAGGTACTACTACTAGTAGTGGTACTGTACAATAAATTAACTGGTCGTACAAATACACTAGCCTGCTTTTGCAGCTGTAGAAGAATGTGATCATCACCATTGCCTTCACTTGCCACTTGTACAATACTACAGTTCTGTGCACACTCTTACTTCGAAGCGTCCGGTAGGTAGTAGTGCTTACGAGTACCGGTAGGTAAGCAACGGTATGCGAAGTCTTCGACATACAAAGATGGATAGGTCCTCATACGTTCATACCTACTAAAGTATACCTTGATACTTTAGGTGCGGTACGATTCACATTGCGTCAACTTCAAAAAAGTGTGACCAAAAGAAGTGTTKCGCATCGACTCTGAGAATGGTCACAAGCAATGCAACAGCACAAACAATACCATACCTCAGTATAAAGGTTGGACCCACAGAACAACAYACAAGACAGGAAGAACGCTCCAGTCGGATCGATGAGCGAAAATACCGTTGCTACCGAAGATCGACGGTCGAGACGGCGACAGCCACAACAGCGAGGAAASCCTTCGTTGCCGACGGAAGATCCGTTGCCCCGGCAGTCCCTCCTGATACGGACCACGGGGATCGCGAGCGGAGGTGAGCGATGGAGGAACGATCGAAGAACCACCAACAAGTACGCGGCGATAGCCTTTGGTGCGCTGGTGGTATTTTGGGCTGTCTGTTTCGTGCTGCTGGCGGTGCGAGGAGGCGGAAAACTCCGTTTTGGCGAGAACCGGGAGGCCGCTGGGACGACAACGGTCGCGGCGCTGTCTTCGTCCATGGTGGGCGTCCATGATATAGCGGAGAAGTACCGTTCCGCAATAGAACACCACCAGCGGGGGAAACTCATTGCAGAGATGCAACAGAAGCAACAACAAACTGTCGAGCGAGCCCGAGACAATATCTCCGGAAACAGGAATCTTCGCAAGCCACTGCCTAGGAAAACCGTCTCGAAGCCCCATTTGGTGTCTCGAAAGCCGAACAACGTTGTGGCGACCGCGTGAGTACTCGGACAGAAACCGAACAGACCTCTTGGTTTTNGATAGCCTTTGGTGCGCTGGTGGTATTTTGGGCTGTCTGTTTCGTGCTGCTGGCGGTGCGAGGAGGCGGAAAACTCCGTTTTGGCGAGAACCGGGAGGCCGCTGGGACGACAACGGTCGCGGCGCTGTCTTCGTCCATGGTGGGCGTCCATGATATAGCGGAGAAGTACCGTTCCGCAATAGAACACCACCAGCGGGGGAAACTCATTGCAGAGATGCAACAGAAGCAACAACAAACTGTCGAGCGAGCCCGAGACAATATCTCCGGAAACAGGAATCTTCGCAAGCCACTGCCTAGGAAAMCCGTCTCGAAGCCCCATTTGGTGTCTCGAAAGCCGAACAACGTTGTGGCGACCGCGTGAGTACTCGGACAGAAACCGAACAGACCTCTTGGTTTTTAGTGGTTGTCACACCATTCTGACAAACAACCTTTCGTGTGTTTGTTCTCTCTTTTTCGTCGCACGGGACGTGTTTTGCTGTGGCCTGCATCGTGCCGAAACCAAAACAGAGACGTTCGCGGAAACCTGGGCCCCGCCTCGGTGGTGGTCCAGGCCAARCCCGGAACCGATTGGATCCACGATCGGTGGCAGGCTGCATCGGACATGCACGGATCAAACATCCCGGGAGCCCACTGGATACAGCTGGAGTTCAAGGACGTTGGTGGCGGCGTGGTAGCGGACAAGATCGTCCTGGACTGGGAGACCGCYTACGCCGACAAGTACGTTCTAGAAGCATCGCTGGAGCCCTTTGGGAACGGCAACGAACACGACTCGGTAGGAAACGGGAAGCAGCAGCAGCAGGGGACGGTTTGGACCCTGTTCGACGGGAGGAACCCGGGCCACGCCAGGGACATGAAATCGGTATCCGAATCGGGCCAGAGCCCCGGTGTAGAGGAAAAGCGTCCCCTGCACGTGGTGCACGAGATTCGGTTGTCCGCTGCCACCGACGAGGCGGTCCGCGCGGTGAGGCGGAGGCCCTTTCGCTACCTGCGGCTGCACATTTTGAAATCGAAAACCGGCTGGGGGGTCTCCCTGTGGCAGTTTGATGTGTACGGATTCCGCAGCGACGAGTTGCTGACGTCGCGGTAGACAAATGCYGGCGCGTTGTAATGTTGATGAAGGATGAGATCCTCGTTYCGCAACGAGGTGGTTCAAACATGTGCACAGGTGCGGCTCGCCGCCAAATAACAAAGCCGATTGAAAATCGAACAAACGTTTGCTCGAAACTTGTCTATTTCATTGTCCTCGGTCACATTCGATCGGTACATCGCTGCTGTCCACTTTGGTGAATGTTTCCAACAATCAAAGAGCTCGCACAGTACTAGAAGAGATYCGATGATCGATAGGAACAGAGGTGACTCCCTACATCGATGACGAAGCGCCATGGACGAAGCATGACTCGCTTGTGCGCATAGCATGTCTTTGTAAGCGCGGAAAATAAAATAGCGGAGGTCGTTGCTTCAATACTGCACCTGATAATGCGGTGGCTTACCATGAAATCGTCAAATCAGATCCAAAAGGGGATACTTGCACTCCGGCACTCGCACCGCATTCCTACTCCATGGACTCTGCCAACCAACTGTCCAAAACCGAATGACGCAAGTGCAAGAACTTTTTCTTGTCGGAGCGAGGTTTGTTGCTTCTTGTTCTCTGYATTTCCTTAAGTGTGTTTTTCATCGAACAGTGAGTCAAAGACGGTCCTTTCTGGGCCCTGGAATAATAACTAGATAAATGTTTCTTTAGGGTGCAATATGCAGTCAACGAATCTAATAACAATAACAATACTAATAATCAAATAATAAGCAATATCATTATTGACAGCGGTGGATTGATGAAAAAATKTCTACAGATTACAAGTGTCAGTTCTAGTACTATCATGTAGTATTAGTTGTGGTTGAGTGGTTTAGCTAAAGTTATACTTACTGGGTTCAAGTCCCCATAACATACGAAGTACTACTTTTGCGATGCTGAAGATACAACAAAGAGGAAGGAAACTTATGCTTAGRGAATGCTTCGTACAAACAAAATTACTACTTTCAAACTGTGCTACTAAGGAAGAATCTACAGAAAATACTGGTATGATGATGTTACCAGATCGAAATAGAATTGGTAACATCTAGTTCGCACGAATAAGTACAAAATATATATATCTTAACGTTAATCTTAAAGTTAAGGTTATTACTGAATATTGATTCCTATCGGCCGGTAATATAGTGCTGACACCTTTGACTTCCACTGCCAATTGCAGCTCTCTGGATTGATACTCTTTAGTCGAACGAGTCGATTGAATTACAGTAGTTTTCATTGGCTTCCAGMCTCTACAAGCCACATCACAAACACTCACACAGAATGCTTCAAGTATTTTGAACTCGGAAGAAAACTCCCAATCGACGAAGGTAAATTGCGGGCATCCACAAATTTGTAACGTAGKCTAGAAATTACTTTTCCAGGAGTAGCAAGTGGTYGCAATACCGTCGACTCTTCATTCCTTGCGACAACCTTGTTACGATGAGCGCTGACAGCAATGACAACAATACCATTGAGAACAAATCCAATAATGAAAAATCCAGAAGCCAACCACAGCGGGGAGCGGGAAAACGCAAGCGAAAACGCCTCGATCCTTTCACATCCAGGGTGGTGGTGGTCGGAGCAGGCCTCGCGGGCCTGAGCACGGCCCTTTCCCTGCGAAAAGCAGGCTTTCGAAAYGTTTGCGTCTACGAAAAGGATCCGAGCCTGGAGTACCAAAAAGAGGGGTACGGTTTGACGCTGACGTACAACCCCAAGGGGCCCCTGGCRGACCTCGGGGTCCTGGAAACCGTCGCACAGCGCGACTGCCCCAGCCGATCGCACTACTTATTTCGCCAGGATCCACCTGGGAGGAAAAAATCGTCATCGCYWCTACCAACCGATGAGCAGCCACCCACCGAATCCGGTGCACCAGCTTGCGTCAGCAGCGAYGATTCGAACCAAACGACGACGACAGAAACAATCGAAAACGAAATCGAAAATGACACTGCGTTCCCCATGGGATATTTCGGAAACGCCTTTTTTGGGYCATYCACGGGCAACTATCGAAGGGGGTACGGCCAGCGTGGAAATCTGCGGGTYCCCCGCAAGGTCCTGAGGCGTATTCTGTACGACGAATTGCTGCGGATACAGCAAGAGCAAGAACGAGAAATGGAAGCAGTGGGGGACAAGGATGCCGATGGCGTAAACAGCAGTGACACCAACAGTGACGATAAGAAGAAAAAGTCTTCCAGCRGTGTCCCTGAAGCTGTTTATTGGAATCGTGCTCTCTTGGATTTTCGATGGGACGGAACCACGCAACAATACCACTTGCAATTTGAAACYCATCATCTGTCACAGCCCAGCAACGGCTGCTTGCAACGGCAAAGTCAAGGGAAGTCCGAAGTGATTGAAGCTACCGCGGACTTGCTAGTTGCTGCTGACGGGATYCGATCTTCGGTCTTGCAGAAACTCTATATCCAGAAACTTRTGCAAGAGCCCCGCAGACAACCAAAGAGCGAAAGTGAAGACACGTTGTGCAACGACAATATCGCTCCAAATACCTCGGCAATCCCGACAACGACGAGACCATCCCAGGGCCAAAATCCTCTGCCAACTATTCGAGAACAGCCCGAACTCTACGGTCTGAGGCCCATGGGGATCCGCATGATCCTGGGAATCGCCGATGGGATCGACCACCCCCTTCTCMGAGAGCGTGGATTCTACACCATCGACACCCACGGTCACAGGCTGTTTACGATGCCCTACGTATCGAGCCGATTTGATGGCATGGATGACGTCAAAAACATCGATGGAATCCAAAACAACAACAACAACAACAGCAGCAGCGAAAATTCAGCAGAGGAAACAGGGAGCATCGAAAGGAGGACAAAAAAGAAGAATCGAATCATGTGGCAGCTCTCGTTTTCTACACCTATCAATCCAAACACGCTTGACTCTGCCTTCCTCYGCCAGTACGTTCTGGAAACGTTTCATTCCTGGCACCCACCCGCACTGGATCTGGTTCGATCGACACCACCCGCTAGCATCTGGGGGACGGATCTGATGGACAGGGATCCCCGAGCAGTCTACCGAGAGCTGATTGTCGGAACCGGTGGCAAGGGATCCATCGAGCGGCCGCGGCTGGTCGTTTGCGGGGACGCCCTCCACTCGATGTCTCCCTTCAAGGGACAAGGAGCCAATCAGGCCCTGGCCGATGGTCCGCTTCTGGCGCGGTGGCTCTCGAAGTCGTCTATCGACGCCGCCCTCACCAAYTGGTGGAGGGAGACCCTAAACCGGACCGTGCCGGTGGTGGAGGCCTCCCGCAAGGCCGCGATCGATTGGCACAACCCCGATCGGATACTCGGAACGACCGAGGAGGACCACAAGGAATACCATGGTTTTGCAGGCGTCGAAGCCTCGTCCGTCCCCGAGTTGGTCGAAATCCTGAGGAAACGGAAAGTCGGCCCACATCTCGGGGGTCAACTCGACCAAACGGTCCGTGAGGTCATTCGAGAACACGGGTGGTTCGAGCAAGAGACCATGGAACCGGAAGTCGATGTTATGAAACAGCAACCACAAGAACGTTGTAGTGCTATTTGCGAGCGGGTTCTCGAGCTAGCTTCTGCCGGGGACACCGCTGGATTGCGAAAGATGAGCTTGCCTTCGTCCTCAACCAAAAATACCAACCTCAAAAACTGCGCAGCCATGGTGGATGCTAGAGACAAGAACGGCAGAAGTTGCTTGCATCTCGCKGCGATCGGAAACCATTGGTTTACCTGCGTGTGGCTCTTGGTGGAGCTRAAGATTCTGGAGCAGTGGAAAGAGCAACACCACGTGAACAAGAAGAGTCCTCCCAGCCACAACACGGAAGGACGGGGCCCAAAAGATGAATACGGAAAGACAGCCTTCGACTACGCTTTCGAAACGGGAAACAAAAACTTGGCGAATGTGTTCGAGAMTGTCTTACAAGGCCGTTGATTAATTAATTCCTAGTCATCATTGAATGCAGTAAAACGAGAGACTAGAGAGACAACCAGAGGACTGAAACCATGGAAAGAGACAATCCAAGATGTGTTACAAACACCTCATCGTTCTGTCCCGGCACACGAAGTCAGTTGCTCAATATCACGCGTATCCTCCCACTTAGCTMCAAGTTTCTTAGATTGAGAATTCTCGGTTTTCACTAGACATTTGAGGAATTGTTCCGTACGAGTCTGTTTTGATCGAGCAACTGGACGATTTTCTCCCTTCCCACGAAGTCTATGATTCTAGTTTGCAGAAGGAACCGATTTCGAACATTGCTCAGAGTTACTGATAAGTGGTTGGTGCTATGTGCATATTTCATGAGTATTTGCTGATAATTAAAAAYAATACTAGAAGTTCAATGAGTATAAGACCCGTACAAAATATACTGGAAGTAGTCCCCTTTTTCTTTCCAGTAGATTTGGTGTCTGATGTGCTGATAAAGTTTGCAACATTTTTGTTGAGTGCGTCTCGCCAGAAGCGCTCTTGTTGTTGCTACAACGCACCAGAAGCCCCCCCCCCTTCTTTTGTTGTTGTGTAGTTGGCGTTTCACTTGGTGGGTAAAGTGCCTAGTCTTTTGTCGGGGGAGTCTCGCCAGAAGCATTCTTGGCATTGTTCGCACGCTGCAGCAAGGCACGGACATCCATCATGACGTTGGGAACCGTGTTCATTGCCGTCGTTGGTGGCTTGCGGCCTCTTCCTCCGCGCTTGGGAATAGCAGCGGCGGCCTTTTTGRAACTGGAACCTTTTGCAGCGACAGTTGTTCCTGTTTCCGTTTTCGTTGTCGGTTTGCCCTTGGTGGAGTTTGCCGCGGCAGTCGGTATGTTWACAGGAAGAGAGGGCACCCCGCTGCTTCCACTAGTCGCCGTTGAGGCTATTGCAGTCGCTATGRCTTTGTCGTTGACATTGTTGTTGCTATTGTTGTTCTTGGAATCATCCCCGGTTTCCAATTGTTGTGGTGTATTTGTGCTAGAAGCAACCTTCGACGCCGAGCCCTCGGTTTTTATCGCTCCCAGTTGCTGTTTCTGCTGCAATTTGTTTACCTTTGCGAGTTGTTGCTGGTTCTTGACAAAGGCATGAACCTGTGCTACGGTCTTGCTAGGTAACAACGTCGTTGCAATCGTGCGAGGATCCTTTCCTTCCTTTAGCGCCTTGTGCACGGCGGATGTCTCCGCCGGKGTCCAGGCCACCGACGACTTTTTTGAGGGGGCCACCTCGGCAGCGGGTTCCGCAGCTGCCGCCGGTGGCGGCGAGGCCGAGGTCCCAGCAACGTCCGAGGGGGCCGTGACCGGATTGGTCGCCATCGCCGTGTTCAGGGGRCTCGCCAGCAATCCGTCCGCCGATTTTTTGCGCCCCGTTCGCTGGTGGTGCAGCTCGACRGCCGCCCGAGCCAGGTGCTCCATCATGCTCGCGTCCATTTCAAGGTTCCCCGGAAGGATCGAGCGGAGTTGCTGCAGAGCCACCGGAATGACGGGGGGCGCCTCGGGTGTCTGGGCKGCTTCGCTCTGGGGGGTTCTTTGCACGGGGGTGCCCGCAGCACCGGCATTGGCGGAAGTGATGGCGTCGATACMAGCAGCATCAGCTCTAGGGGTCCCATGCAACCCCGGAGCAACGACGGATCCCGTCTCTGGCGAGGCCGAACTCATGTCCAATCGTTTCTGGTTTTGAGCTTGTTGTTTTYCTGCCTGGTGCTGCTGTTGYTGCTGCTGCCTTGCCTTTTGCTGATCAACCATCATGGCCGACCGATCGAACCGCTTCCCCAGCCCAACCAKTCTYGTGTGCAACAGCAATTGATAGGCCGACGCCATCTTCAATCTTCCCAGGCGCTGGGCTTCCGTGCTGGCCCGCAAAAGGTCCTCGCATTCCCCCAGCACGGCGTCGTAGACATTGATCCCGTCGCTCCCCGTGTTGTGGCTCGGATCGCTCCCATCTCCGGATGTCCGTGTGGGCGTCGTCACGGTGGTCACCGTCGACTTGTCGCAGTAATTCTTCGGTCGTTTCGTTCTGCGGTAGGGGCGTTTTTTTGTCTGTTGGGTAGTGGTTGTAGTACTTCCACTGCCGCCGCCAGGATTCAGAGGGGGTTTCCCGCTCGCTGTGGATCGGGGGCGCTTTAGTCTGGAGTTTGTTATGGTTGATGCCGCAGCGATTGTGGTGTTGTCGCGAACTGGTGTTCTGGACGAAACGCCCGCTAATTTGGTGGTGGATGTTGTTGTTGTTGTCTTTGTTTTTGATTGTGATTGTGATTGTGCTACTACATTTGCGACTGCTTCAGGGGGCATCGGTGCACTCTGCTTGGAAATGCAATTAGTTGGTGGCGGTACCGGGCTCATTTTGCTAGAAGATCAAAGTGATAACTCACAATGAAAGCTCCCAACTTGGCTTGACTCTTTTGAATCCCAGCTAATTCAAAAACAAGAAAGGATCTGGAATCTAAAATTCGCTTGCGYTTTCGTAGAGGAGATACTTCAATCTTGTGAATCCCAATTAACGAATTGTCTCTAGCTCGCTAACTGGATCCAATGGCAGCATTCAGGTCCTCTTTCTCTCAAAAGAAATCGTCTTTCGTTCAATGCTGTAGGAGCAACTCCATAGTAAGGAGTCGGATGAATTTGAACTTTCTATTGTAATCTTCGATTTGAATCATATCACTCCAGCAACAAAAACCCTGTACGAGTAGTACGAGGTATCGCACCGTAATGGACCGGTACCAGGTATGCTTAGCTTACTCATCAACTCATCAACACTACCGTACTGCACCATACAGTACTGAAATATTTTACGATACGTACTTGACCGTATGTAACGCACGTACGATTACAATGCTGACCCGTAATTGAATGGCATTTTTTACTGAAGCGTTCGCGCTCTTTCTTACGAAAAAGGCGCGAAGAGTAAAAGATGACTAAATCGTCTGCTCTCCAACCGTTCCTTATTTTAAAACCGGAACTCTAAATTATTACAAAGGCACGAGGTTTCCATRGGCGTTGCTTCATTATCAACCACGGAACTTTAGGATCTTGACACCGGCTCCACGTAGATCAAAAATTGAAAATGTTCTTGGTCAAGCAAAAAATAATCCGACAGATACCATCGTTCAACGCGGTTCTCCATGAAAAAACACAAAAACGTCACAAGAATTCACAAAATACAGTTACCTCACCAATCGCAACGTTCTTTCCGTAGCTTACGTACACCACTGTACTATTGGGTAGAGCTCGTACCAGTAAGAGAAAGTGAATTCTTCTTTTTAGCTGCATGCAAATCTGTCTGTCAGCGTTACTGGTAGTCGAAAATACAGGATCCTGTCATGTCATTCGCGAAATTTCGTAATTGTCGGATGGGATATGCTTGTGTGCCCATTCGACGACAAGAAGAAGCTCGGCATTCTGCACAATATTCACAACAATAAGGACGCAATCAAACACATTCTTAGCACAAAAATAGAATAGAAAACAGAGAAGCACCACTTGCACACAGCCGACGCCATAGAGAATYGATCSGACATACTAGAAAGCCCARCTAGTCAACAATMTATAATTTGCCACCATGTCGAGAGAACTAAACGAGCAACAGAATGCGTCCGTCGGAATGACGGTCGGAATGATCGAGGTGCGTTTTTTKGGATCGAAAAAACGGTGACTTCTTGCTCTGAGAAGAGAATTCACGAACGGGCTATGTGTTTGTATCGGAGGCATTGGCAAWTTWWTTYSRAMYTT